ATATCTAATAAATATATAGTTTAAATATAGAGTGTTCATTATTCATTTTGCTTGTTTCTACTTTTGATTCAATTGAGGAGAGAGAGCAAAGGTAAAACAAGCTTGGCATGTATTAAATTCTACTTACCCAAATATCTCTTCATGCTGCTTTCAAAGTCACTTGACACCTCATTTATGAGACTTTCAATGAGTTCTTCTCTTTTTTTCCCTTCTTTTAAAGACTCAGGTATCAGCATTAACATGTGATCCAGCCATTCCTGCTGAATAGGTACTATAGGACTACTTTCTACACATTGCTTCATGTAAATGTAGTTGAACTGAGAACATAATAAGAAAAAATTAAAAGTTTTGCATGGTTGTAGCATTTCAGTATAATTCCTGAGCTCTCTCTTCCTAAGACAACATTCTTTTCAGAATAAAAATATTCTGCAGTCAGGTATCAGCTCAAGCCCGTAATCCTAGCATTCTGGGAGGCCAAGGCAGGAGGATCGCTTGAGCTCAAGAGTTCGAGACCAGCCTGAGCAAGAGTGAGACCTCGTCTTTACTAAAAATAGAAAAATTAGCCGGGTGTTGTGGTGTGCACCTGTAGTCCCAGCTACTCAGGAGGCTAATGCTAGAGGATCCCTTGAGCCCAGGAGTTTGAGGTTGCTGTGAGCTAGGCTGATGCCACTGCACTCTACCCAGGGCAACAGGGTGAGACTTTGTCTCAAAAAAAAATCTGAAAAATGACATGTTTTCAGAATAAAAACATTTTATTCAAAAATATGCCTTACAAAAAAACCATTTTATCCTTTTCTTTATTTATAATGAGTTATGCCAAATTAATGTTATTAGTATTAATATTAACACATATTTCATTTTCTAAAGGCAAAACAAAGATCCTTTGTCTAACTTATTATTTCTTCATTCAAAATACATTCATTAATTTAACAAATATTCATTGTTCTGAATGCTGGGTAGGCTGGGAGAGGTGGCTCATACCTATAAACCCAACACTTTAGGAGGCTGAGATAGCAGGCTGAGATTGAGGCCAGGAGTTCAAGACCAGCCTGGGCAATATAGTGAGACCTTTGTCTCTACAAAAATAACTTTAAAATTAGCCGAGAGTCATGGCATACGCCTGTAGTTCCCAGCTACTCAAGAGGCTGAGGCAAGAGGATCGCTTGAGCCCAGGAATTCAAAATTACAGTAAGCTATGTTTGGGCCATGGCACTCGAGCCTGGGCCACAGAGTGAAACCCTGTCTCTAAAATAAATAAATAAATGCTTCATATGTAGTAGTGAACAAAACAGACAAAGCCCATATTCTCTTGGAGATTATATTCTAGTACAATGGTAGCATAATTTCATAAATTTGCCCATAAGAATGAGTAGTCTCTTAGTCTCTGACAGACTTGGCATAAAAAAAATTAAAAAAAAAGAATGGGCCGGGCGCAGTGGCTCACGCCTGTAATCCTAGCACTCTGGGAGGCCGAGGCAGGCG